TGCTTTTAAGGTATCTGCTTTAGTTTCTCTGCGTTAAGGGCAACAAATGCTATCTAATTTTTTAGGTGTCTTACCTATCCTCACCCCTCCCTTGTGTGCTCTTGCTTTTATCATGTGCTCAAAGTCCAATCCCCTTGTTGTGTTTGCCCTTGACCTAATGTCCGCATATGAGGGAGAACATACGATTTTTGGTCTTTTGGGCCAGGCTAACCTCACTCAGAATGATGTTCTCCAATTCCATCCATTTACCAGCGAATGATAACATTTCGTTCTTCTTCATGGCTGCATAAAATTCCATTGTGTATAAATACCATATTTTCTTAATCCATTCGTCAGTGGTGGGGCATCTTGGCTGTTTTCATAACTTGGTTATTGTGAATAGTGCCGCAATAAACATGGGTGTGCAGGTACCTCTGGAGTAACTTGTGTCACAGTCTTTTGGGTATATCCCCAAGAGTGGTATTTCTGGATCATATGGTAGATCAATGTCTAGCTTTTTAAGTAGCCTCCAAATTTTTTTCCAGAGTGGTTGTACTAGTTTACATTCCCACCAACAGTGTAAGAGGGTTCCTTTTTCCCCCGCATCCTCACCAACACCTGTTGTTAGTGGTGTTGCTAATGATGGCTATTCTAACAGGGGTGAGGTGGAATCTTAGTGTGGTTTTAATTTGCATTTCCTTTATTGCTAGAGATGCTGAGCATTTTTTCATGTGTTTTTTGGCCATTTGAATTTCTTCCAAAAGCACTTTTTAAAGCAGTATATCACTTGGGAGGTGGAGAAGGATCAGCGTTTGAGCCAGCCCAAGCAAAAAACAAACAAGACTCTCAAAAAACAAGCAGGGACTGGTCTGTAATCCTAGCTACTCAGGAGTTAGAGCTGGGAGGATCCAAGGCCAGCCCACAAGAACCCCCCCCACACTTTTTTTTTCCCCCTGTGGTACTGGGACTTGAACTCAGGGCCTACACCTTGAGCCCCTCCACCAGCCCTTTCCTGTGAATTTTTTTTTAATTAATTGAGATAGGGTCTCACAAACTATTTGCCTCTGTCTGGCTTTGAACTGCAATCCTCCTGATCTCTGCCTCTTGAATAGCTAGGATTACAGGCATGAGCCAAAGGCGCCCAGCTACTTACAAGACCTCCTTTAAAAAATAACTTAAAGCAAAAAGGGTTGTGGTCTTGGCTCAAGTGGTGGAGCACTTGCTTAAAGAGCTGGAGGCCCTGCATTCAATCACTATAATCCCAACACCCAACTGGGCTCTGTTTGGATAGTTTCTGTCTTCATGCCTGAGTTTCCACATAGAGACTGATGATTTACTCATTGTGTTATAAGCATGTTTTCTTTCATGACATGTGCCAGGTTCATCAAGGGAATCCCTGTCCTTCACTGGACCATCCCCACTGTTGGGCAGTGTTGCTTCTGTTGACTTATTTCCTTGCGCATATTCCCCAGAGTAGGGAATTTTCAGCCAAGATGGGAACACTGAATGGTTTAGTTTGCAGCATTTTACAGAATTAAGTCATTGCATCCTTTGCTTTTGTTTTGGAGCTGGGGTTTCACTGTGATGCCCAGGCTGCTCTGGAACTCCTGGGCTAAGGCAGATCCTCCTGTCCCAGCCTCCCAAGGAGCTAAGACTACAGGTGAGCACCATACCTGCTCAATCCCTTTTTTCCTCTGGTAAGTCATCCATAGTTCATTTAGTTGAAACCATTTGAGAATGTTAGCAGACATCTGGGGACATGTCCTAGACCTGTAGTCTAATAGGCCACTAAAAGTTTATTGTTTGGTCATATTTGAAAATCATGACTTTCTCTGATTCTGTTTTTTCTGAGTGCCTACCACTCTTCTCTGCAGACTTCCAACTCTTCTCAAAGCTTCTGCATGGGAGGGCCCCCAAACTCCTGCTTTATTTACTTTGCTGGGAGGACTGTTTGCATATGTAAAACCAGGACCACATCGTTTGCTGGTGCTCCAAGTGCTGCCAGATAATTAAATGTAAGAAGTTGAGTCTTTTAAGTTATTTTTACAAACCTGGATACAAAGAATATTTTCTTAAAATTAAAAAAAATGTAAAGATTGTAACATTGGCTTTCCAATTGCAACATGGTAGTGAAGTTTCAACATACAGCAAATGAGGGGCCTGAAGTTGAGGAAGGAGAGGAGGCTAGGAGATAACAAATGCATAAACTTTGGAGTCAGAGTAAATGACAAAATAAAACTCAGTTTGGGTAATTAATGATCCCACACAGCAGCCTTAACAGTTTTTTTTTTTTTTCTTTTTCTTCTTTTATCAGTAGTTCCCCATCTCCCCTCTTATTTGAAGGGGAGAGTAGCTTTAAAGTCATTGTGTTCCCTATCAGCATGGGATAAACCATGGAGAGAGGCCCACAATGACAGCAGTTGTTAAAAGATCATTGTTGGTACCATTACCTACATTTGTTAAAAAAAAGGAAATTAAGGGGCAGCCTTTTTGTTCAACTAGCATTGATAAAGATGGATGAGAGGGATGAGAGGTCTTGCACAATTGTCTGGCTTGAACTAAAAGGTTGGATTCTTTTTCCAAGTACATTTTGAAACCTGTTACAGCATCTGCAAATACAGCAGGGGGGAGTGAGTTTGAGATCCTATGCCAGCCTGCATAGGCACCCTCCCCATTCAGTGAGGGCCCAGTGGCCATCCTGCTTCCACACCCTGGTGCCTGCACCTCAGCCTTCACCAGGTTCTGGGCCTTGGCTGTCTGGGGGTGAGGGAGGGCTGGGGATGTGGGGGCTCAGCATGGAGCTGGTCTCACATGCATAGGGAAGCCCATAGCATCTACAGGGTGTCTGGAGGCTGGGGCAGCCCAGGCTGCTTGCTCACAGGGTCACTCTGAATTAAGTGGTGCTCTAGGCCAGAGCAGGAGCAAGAGGCAGGTGGAGGTCCCACCTCAGAGCCTGGTGTCCAGAGGCCTAGCTAGGCCTCTGATTTCTGGAGCAAGCTGAGGGTCTTAGGGGACCAGGGAGGTACCATGAGGATGAAGTGAGTGCACCCAAAATTACCAGGCTTTAGCACCCTAGCTAAGGTGGTTTTACCTGGTGTGAACCAGCCTCTTTCCTTCCTGCTCTTGGCCTTCACTTCCTCTGTTTTCAGCTCAGCCCTCTGCATCTTTATAAAATGGCAGTGCGGGGGAGGGGGTGTAGAGGAAGGATGGAGGCCTTCCAGTGCTTTGCAGGTGTCTGGAAGCACCCTGGTTAAGGTTTTAGCTCCAGACTCCTGGTCCTGAGTTGCTCTGTCAGAGGCAGGTGGGGCTTGGGTGGAGTCCTGTCTTCTGTGAGAATTTTAGGCTTGGTGATGTCAGGAAAAAGGATTCAGTAATCCTTGGTAAAGCACTGTAAGGCAGACTTATTCAGGATCATTGCAGTAGGTATAGGGACCACAATGGGATAATTCTAATACAGCGTGGGCAAGTGGGACTTTATAGCTGGGGGTGGGGGGTGTTAGTAGATGGAGCTTTACTAAGGGGAAGTGGTAGGATTAAGAGGGATTCTGATTAAATGGGCTTAATTGGACTCTTGCTGAAGACAGGCCAGGGTGACCAGACATCAAGGGGGAAGGAATGGGAAGTGGAGGATGAGAGCCTGATCAGGTATCCAAGGTGATCAGATATTCTTGCTAAACTGACTTAGCAGGGGTTGTTGTTAATGCTGGGGTTTATAAGGGAGTGCACAGATGGACCTAGGAGAAGGTTCAGAAGCCTGATGAAAGTTTGGTCAAGTAGAGCATCTTTTGTCAGTGGCTGAGGGCTCAAGACCAGGGAGTGCTCCTGTCACTTCCTCTAAAGCAGTGCTTAAAAATGACTTCTTAGGCTGGAGATGTAGCTCAGGGGTAGAGCATGTGCTTGCTTAGCGTGAGTGAGCTCCTAAGTTCCATCCTCAGCACCACAGAAATAAAATAAAATTAAAACAAACAAAATGCCTTCTGTGTCCTCATCAGGACCCAAGTCCTGGCTAGTTTTGTGTTGGTAAACTGATTGCTTTACTCCTCCAAACCTGGATTTGGAGATTTGGGGTGAGTTTTTTCCAAGCTCCTATTCTCCAGCTGGGAGGCAGGAACCTTTAACTCTGGCCTCAGAAGTTATGTGTGGCCCAGTGGTACAGCATGTGTTTAGCATGCAAGAGGCCCTACGTTCTGTTCGCAGCACCAGAATCTGCCTTGTGGGTCAAATCGTGCCCTCAGCATGCCAGAGCTGGCCCTGTGAGTGACCACTGTAGTGCAGCTATGACTTTTGACCGTATTTCTGTGTTAATTCTCTTCTGCCAAGCACAGGGCTGGGCATGGGAGGGACTCTTATTAAACTGTACTGAACCAAATCCCCACTGGAAGGAAGAAAGGAAGTATGGGTCAACGGGGTGGATTAGGCAGGCTGTCATGTCCAAGGCCCTGGGCTGGGAGGGGCTGTGGGGCTTCTGGAGAGGTAATGGGGTCGTGATCTGGGGGAGTCCAGAGAGCTGCCACAGGGCCAGTTTTGATTTATCTCACCTAGGCATCTTTCTCTCTGCCATCCCTTCTTCATGTCACGGATAGTCGCAGCTTCAGCCTTCCTTGATGGTTAGGATGCTATTTCTGTTGTTTTTAATCCTTGGTATTATATTTGAACATATTGTAACAGCATAAATTTGTCACCTGCTCTCAAAGACTTATCAGTTAATTGTTCGATGTTTTTTTCTTTGTTTGCATTTCCTTTCATTAGAAAATAGCCTGTGAAATTTAATGAGCCTGGGCTGGTGGAGTGTCTCAAGTGGTAGGGTGCCTGCCTAGCAAACATGAGGCCCTGAGTTCAAGCCCCAGGATGGCCAAAAATAAATAAATAAAATTTAATAAGCTTTAAAGAAATATTCTGGACAATACCATCACAACTATAGATCATTCAGATACTTTGTTTTTGCTGGGTTTTCTACTTTTCTCTGTTCTGAAACTCATCCTCTTTTTTTTTTTTTCTTTTTCCTTTCCTTCTCTGTTCAGAAGTTGGATGGACTCGTCAAGCTGCGTACTGTCCGAGAAGCTCCATCTGAGTGTGTCTGCCCCCCAGGTAAGTGAAGATTCGCTCTCCTGCTGACTCCTGACTTCTGCAGGCCTGGCGCTTCTCTCTGCTGTCTGGTCATAACTGCTCAGGTCACCCACAGGATGGTCTTGGGTTTCAGGCTGTGGCACTCTGAGTGCCTTTCCTGGCAGGCTGGTCAGTCAAAGGTGAACGGACTTGGTTTGATTGGTGGTATGGGGAGAGGAACTAAGGAAGTGTTGGAGGTAACTTAGAATAAAGGCTTAATGGTAGGAAAGTAAAGCTGATGGGAGATGCCATCCACGTGGGAATAACATTCTGGCCCAAGCTCTGTCTCAGGCACAGAGTGGATAATCTGGTCAGTGTGGCTTTTTGGTTTTCATTTCTTTTGATGAAGGCAAAGGAAGGGAACAGAAATCTCAGTCTGAATTGTTCTAATGATCGTTTCTCTTGTGTTTTGCTGGCATGGATCAAGAGGGCCAGGAATAAAAGTAGCATGTGTTGAATGCTAATCCATGTGCTCAAATCCAGATTGAGAACAGGTCTTCTGACTGTCCTCATGGCAACTCTGGCCCATGATGGAGATTTCAGTTGAGGTCTCTAACCGTGGTATTTTCAGGGTTCGAATGATCCTTGCTCGGGATGGGTAAAATTCCACTGAATGAGTGGGTCATCATTGTACTGTAGCTCAGGCTCCCTGCACACTGGAAGAGGTGGCTTTTGTTATGGGTTCCAAGGACATGGGAGCTGAACACAGTGTTCCCTGTCCTCACTGTCACTTCTTCTGTTAGTTGAGCTGCTTGGCACTTCCCAGTCCACTTCAGTGGGTCCAGAAACCAAGCTCACAGATCATTAACATCTTAGGGTGGGGTGATTCCTTGGCCAAGGCGAATCTCACAGTGGGAAAATTCAGTCTCTGAGGACCTGGTGGAAGAGAATGTTATGGCTGAGCTCTCACTAGCCTTTAGTTAGAACCTCTAAGATGGGTTTTTTTTGTTGTTGTTGTTGTTTTGTTTTTGGTACTAGGGTTTGAACTCAGGGATTCATGCTTATTAGGCAGATGCTCTACCACTTGAGCCATGCCCCAGCCCTTTTTGGTCTGATTATTTTAAGGTCTCACTTTTTGCCCAGGTCAGGCTGGATGTGATCCTCCTATTTTATGCTTCTCACTGCAGCTGAGATGACAGGCACACACCACACACCCAGCTATTGGTTAAGATAGAGTTTTACAGACTCTTTGTTCTGGCCTTGAACCATGATCCTTCTGATCTTAGTCTCCCAAGTAACCAGGATTACAGATGTGCCACTGGCACCCGGCTTCTCTGAAGTTTTGATAAGAGAAAACAGGAAGGTGTGACAAGTAATGATATCTATTAGCAGAAAGTCAGAAATTGTGACTAAATGGGGGAAAAAATTCAGATTCACAAATGCATTTTTTGGAAGGAATGTTCCTTCTTGCTTCTCTTCTTTCTTTCTGAGTGTTGTGTTGGATATACAGTTGGCTTTCCACACCCTTGGCTCCTGCAGCCTTGGTTTCAGCCAGAATGGAAAGTATTCACAAAAAATTGCATTTGTATTGGGCATGTACAGACTTTTCCTTTGTCAATATTTCCTCAAAACCTCAGTTTAACAACTATTTACATGTCATTTATATTGCATTTGTTATTATAAGTAATATAGTGCTGGGCATGGTCGTGCATGCCTGTAATCCAGCACTCAGGAGACACAAGCAGGAGGATTGTGAGTTGAGGCCAGCCTAGACTACCTAGTGAGACCTTGCCTCAAAAAAAATACACAAAACAAACAAGCAAACAAAAAAGTAATGTAGAAACATATAGGAGGATGTACACAGGTTATATGCAAACACTACATCATTTTATAGAAAGAACTTGAGCTTGTGTGGATTTTGGTACCCTGTGGGAGGAGGGGGACAGGGACAGGCTGGAATCAGTCTCCCACCTGTATAGAGGGATACCTGTACATACATGTGATTTATGTGTTTTTTAAAGTGAGAGTCACAGCCATTCAGGAGATTTTAAATCAGTTTAGCAGTTTGCAACCAGCATTTTGAAATTGTGAACTGTTGTAGAGTAGGCTAAAAATAAAAAACCAAAGTGAAATTTTGGTTTCAGGATTTATATTTGTAGATGTGAAATAGATTTCTTGCTAACAGAGTGTTCAAAAGTCTCAAATACAGAAGATAGATGGACAGAGGAGGAGGTGGCAGTAAGGTGGCTTAGGGCTCCTGAAAAACTCAGAACTCAGGCCAAATCTTGAGTCTCATATCCTAGCTGTGATTTTGTGTGTGTGTGTGTGTGTGTGTGTGTGTGTGTGTGTGTGTGTGAGAGAGAGAGAGAGAGAGAGAGAGATGCTAGATAAGCACTAACCACTGAGCTACTCCCCTAACCCACTGTAAGAGTTTTTATCAGAAATGACGATTTTTTTTTACTGCAGTGGCTTCTGGGCCTTTTCAAAGGTGTGGCCAAAAGACAGGTAACTATGGAGAAAGCCAGTGACCTAGAGACTGTCCTCTGCCCTGCCTTCCCTTGGTCAGAGAGGAGTGGGGGTCTTGAACCAGCAGAGAGACTCTAGGGGGTTCTCAGGAGGCCCACAGGATGGAGGGCTGGTCAGAAGTTTGAACAGTTTTGAAAGCACCATTCATCACACAAAACAAAGCAGGCACCAGTCTTTCAGTATTTGCTGTAGTGGTTAATAGGGTCTGCTTCCTTTACCGTCCTAATCCTACCCAAGAGCAATTGGGTGGCCAACGTGGTTTGTGACACTGGAGAAACTGCCTGTATTAGTAGGAGTCTGGTTCAAAAGGTGGCTGAGTTAGAGGATTCATTATTTTCTGACACAGGATATTTTTAAGGCAAGTGTGATGCTCTGCATGAAGGGACAGAATAGGACATGACTGGACAATTTCTCAAGTCTCCCGTGTGCAGCCACAAATGTACTAAGTCCTTCCCACAATTTGGCTTTTTGTGACTCTTGTAGAGGTTTTTTGGGTTTTTTTGTTTTGTTTTGTTTTTTCAATGGGAATTGTGGTTTTCAGAACTGCAGCTTTTAGGATTTTAACATTTGGAATTTCATTCTTTTGGAATTATGATTTGGGGGACTTTGAGCTTTTAGGATTTCATACTTGGGACTGTGGTGTTTAGGATGGTGTCTTATGACACAATCAGGCTTAGGATTTTGATTAGCACTGCATCAAACCCTCTAGCCCCGCAGACAGGGGAGCTCTGGGGAGGCCTTGCTGCTATTATTCAGGGGCTCCTGACTGCGAGGTAGCCAGGCCGTGGCAGGTGTGGTCAGTGTGGTCCAGAGGATGTGGCATGGTGGACTCAGTAGGGCCCTCTGCCCTCCCATGTCCATGTTTGTTTTTTCTGTCCTGTCGCTGCCAGCGTGAGGTCTCACTTGAGCTATTAGGACTTGAGTCCTTCAGCAATGCAACCCCCAGTTGCTGGCACTCGCTCCCTGCATCAGGAAAGGACAGAGGTCTTTTCTGCAGCTCCAGAAACCCGAATTCACTCTCTTTCTTTCAGGCTCTGATCACAAAGGCCCGCAGTCTGGAGTCTGGAGACACAGACCACCCTCGGTCCCTGTGAGATCTGAGATATGGGCAGACCCCACCCCGATTCCTTCCCACGGTCCAGGGAGACTGTGTAATCTTTTGTCAGATCCTAGCAGGCAGCAGGCAGATAAGCCAGGCTAGGGAAGGGTGGTTCTATGTGTCACCCAATGTGAAGCTGCCCTGTAGGCTTCACGTAGGAAGACGGCGCATCCCTCAGGCTCATGTCCATGGTGTAAGGACGGCAGAAGGCAGGACCGGCCCTGACCCAGTGCTGTGACCTCAGTTGAATGTGGGGCTACAGAGCCTTGCATGCTTTGTCTATAAAATGGTATAGTGGGTTGATTGTGTTCCCCCAAAAGGTATGTCCAAGTCCTAGCCCTTGGTACCTGCGAACGTGATCTTATTTGAAAACAGGTCCGGAAAGATATACAGTATTTGTTCCTTATCTGCAAGGGGACACATTCTAACACCCCCATGGGTGCCTGAAGCCATGGCTACCGTCTAACCCTACACACTGTGTTTTCTCCTATACATACATAGCTACGAAAAAGTTTAATTTATAAATTAGGCATAGTAAGAGATTATCAACAACAATAATAAAATAATTATAACAACTATACTGTAATGAGTTATATGAATAGAATATATTATTGTATTTAATAATAATCTTATGAAATTAAAATATCTTATTGTATTTTTACCTTTTTTACTGAAGGAAGCACTTTCTGGCTTCTCTTGGCCTAGCGAAATTGTCAGTATCACTACTCTTGCACTTTGGGGCCATTATAAAGTAAAATAAGGGCTAGTTGAACATAAGTACTAAGATCCCATGACGGCAGATATGATGAGTGAAATGGTTACTGAAGTAGCTAACAGGTGGGTATCAAATACAGCATGGACACTCTGGACAAAGGAATGATTCATATATCCCAGGAGAGAAGGAAGAGAATGGTGGGAGATTTATCACGCCACTCAGAATGATGTGTAATTTGAGACTTATGAGTTGTTTATTTCTGGAATTTTCCATTTAATATTTTCGAGCTGGAGTTGACAGTGGGTAGTTGAAACAACAGAAAGTGAAATCTTGGTTAAGAACTACTGTAACTAAGATAAGGATCTCCAGATGAGACCATCTAGGATATAGGGTGAACCCTGATGGTTGTGGCATTGCACAGCCCTGTTTCAAAGTCAGTATCTGTATACAGATGCTTCTTATTTTATGGCAGGGTTACATCCCAAGAAACCCACTGTAAGTTGAAAATACTGTAAATCAGAAATGCACTGAATGTACCTTGCCCTCTGAGCACCATAGCTTAGTCCAGCCTACCTGAAGCATGCTCAGAACACATTCACCCTTAGTTGGGCCAAACTGTTTCACATAAAGCCTATTTTATAACAAGCTGTTGTTGGGATGTCTTAGGATGCAATTGGCCTATCCTTCTAAAGGACATTTGGG